ACACACGCACACACACGAGGTGTTCCGGCGTGTGTATCATTATGTCAAAGGCAGCGTGAAGCGCTGGTTTCATGATCCTGGAAAAGCCTGTGATTAGTATGGATGCTATCAATGTTAAACCAGGGCTCGACGGCAGACGCTGGCTTTGGATTTAAACTGTTGACAGATTTACTCTTAGCTCTGCTGGTCAGAGACGACAGTCAGAACCAAAGGTTCAAACAGTTACTGTCAATTTTCTTATCAATTTGATTGTTTTACTCTCCTGCCCAACCTGTGGGTCGGGGACTAGATGTGATCCAACCTTGAACCATCTGGCAGGTGGAGGTATTGCCTGTTGATAAATGACACTTTATCTTAATATTTTTTTTTCTATTTTATCATATATATATATATATATATATATGATTTTTAAACATTGAATACATTCCGTATTTAGCTGTAAAGTAAAGTCAACTGAATATACTAAAATTCATACAAATATGACAGAAAAGTATCTTTGAATATCCGTACTTCAAAAATAAAAACTGAAAAAGTCTGGACATTAGTATTAAAAGCAAAGAAAAATAATGATCAGTTTCATCAGATTTGCCCTTTTTACCTTTCAATCTGTGGAAAAAAAAGGAAAGAAAGTGTGAAGAAATTATATTTAGATCTGGCTGAATAGATAGAATCAAATAAAAATAAAAATAATAATAATAACCAGACAGTTTTAAAAAGGCAGTCTGCCGGTGTTTATCCAGACACAGTTTTGGGGTTTGGGAGGCTGCCAATGAAATCTGCACTGTTAAAAATGATTTTAATTTGAAAGAAACTGGCCTCCAGTGAGAGTTTTTTATTTTTTATTTATTTTTTATTTTCATGACACAGGAAAGACCTTTGGTGGTTATAAAAATACATATGGAAGAAACAGTAGCGTTGTTGTTTGTAGAATAGAAAAACCTGCGAACAAAGTCTTCAAAAGACGTGTGTTTGTGTGTGTACGCGGTGGAGCAGCGGTTTACAGCTGAGTGAAGGCCCCGACGAGGTTACAGGAGGTTAGGCCTTCCATTTATAACAGCCAGTTAACGCTCGGGTCAGAAGTTAAATCAATGTTCCAGACAGGGCTTTGATATCGGGGCTTCTGGTTCGGCCAAAATGAGAAGGTAGAGGTCGCAACACGAACCATCTGATCCTTCCTGTTCCCGTCTGAAGATTCCTGGGAGAACGACGAGGCAACGCAAATCACACGGACTTCTGGTCATCCCCACGGTTCCGTACGCGTCCGTGTCCCCACGTTTGTCACCGTCCTTAGGTTGAACAAACCGTTTCCTCTGCAGTTAATCAATAGAGTCAATGACATTTCCTTCCTTCTTTTTGACCTTTCTTTCCCTTCGTTTAATTTCCTTTTGGTATCTTCCCTCTCTTCCCTCTCTCTTCTTTCTCTTTTTTTGATGTCTTATGCCTTTTTTCTTTCCTTGTCTCCTCCCCTCTTCTTTAATTTTACTTGTTTGTGTTATTTACATTATTTTTCCGTGTCTTTTCCTTTCCTTTTTTCCACTTCCTATTTTCACTTCCTGTCGTCTGCTTCCTCCCCTCTTCTCTCCTCTCCTCGTCTTAAATGTGAATGAGGTGATTGAGTCCCCGACTCATTCGTATTCATAAGCACCTCCCATTAAGTAACTCCACATATCAGTCATTCACTGCGTGACTCCATATTTGACAGCTTTTATGACCTTCTTCTTTCAGATTCCTTCTGACGCCCTCTTAGTGAGACAAACACACACACAGACACACACGTACACACGTACACACAGATGAAAAAGGAAGCCGACGGGGAGCGACACTTGACGCGGTAACATGTAATTTACACAGTGCACACACAGAGAGCCGTGTGTACACACATCACACTGCATCAGCACACACCCACGTTCATTCACTCCTTCGGCCTCGCACTCGCACACACACTCTGGCGGGGCTGAGCACTCCGTCAAGCTGTCACGGCGGTTTGACACCAGCTCTCCCGTCTCATCATTAGTTTTGGTGAGAGATGTCTTGTCCCCTCAACAAAAAACAAACATGGCAGGTGGCGATGGATCAATTAATCAGAGCAGGCACTTGCCGATAGTTATGTTTCACTTTCAACTAATGTGCATTGAACGTCTGAGAAAGTTTCCAATAATGCACGGACAACACTTTCCATCAGCGTCCGCAGCCACAGCTCTGATCTATAAATCACTCCGAGAGATTGCTGTCAAAACCGCGGCTCCCACTGACTGACGGTCGTCCTAACGAACCCGACTGACAGCACGGACCACCTTCACAACACTGACTCTTCTATTCCTGTGTGAACTTGCACTTGATCTTAGAACATTATTAATTAATGCCTACAGTGATTATCAACTGGTGGCCCGCGGCCCAGATCCGGCTAAAAATGAACATGAATGAATAATTTTAGACAAAAAAAATGTTTATTTCCGTAACTACTGCAACCACCAAATACTCCAGGTCTAAATGTTTGTGTTTCTATAACAAACTATAGAAAATGTTAACGTTAGTGAAGAATGGCTTTGGTTTTATATTTGATTTGATTTCAATAATGTTCAAGTTGAGACTTATAAGAAATAGTCAACGACTACTGTGTCGAGGAAATACTGCTGGTGAAAACCTACATATGAATGTTGCTGTTACCCTTTACTATTCATTTAAAAGTCAATTAAATGATCACATGATTATGAGATGCATCACAGAACATCACGTGATTTGTCACCTTTAAATCTTCACCGTCCGTTTCACCTCTGCTCCAGAGTTTTACCTCCTCAGCTCATGTCTTCAGTCTTCCTGTACCTTGTGGGTTTTTCTTCTCCTGTTCCACTTTTATACCAACTCCTCGTGTCATTTTCTGCTTTAATTCCACTTGTATAATCTTCCTTTCTTCCTACCCATCTCTCTCTCTCTCTCTGTCTCTCCATCCTTGTCTCTCGTGGTCTGATAGTCGAAGCAGCCAAAGCGCTGGAGGCGAGAGCAGACAGAGGAGCTGCCCTGTCCGACCTCTCCCTCACTCATCTCCAAAACAAATGCCAACGTGCCAGTAGGTTGTGAGGAGACAATTATTTACCATTTAGATCAGCTGTTTGTCTTGTTAACTTAGTGCAACGGTTTCCGGCTCTGCCGCCCAAACATGTTTTCTCTGTACTCGAATGTCTACGCTGAGATATTTGCCGTGCAGAAGTGAAGCCTGCAACACAATTGGACGCCTTTAGCTAAAAAAAAAATCATTTGTGAGAGAGAGAGAGAAAAAAAAGAATAAGACATGATCTCAGCTCCACTTCCTGGCAGGGCCAGAAAACCCAGTCGCTCAAGCCGATCCACTCTGCATACATCAGATAAGAACTGTAATTACAGCCGCGCCGCTGTTTGAATGTGAAGGTGAAGGAATCACTGGGTCTGAATGGACGAGCCGCAGTGGAGATGATGAGCCGGGGCCTCTGGTCTCACATCCACGTCTCACTTCATGAATGTTCTCCCTGGTAGATGGACAAAACGTCACAGACACGGTCCAAATGTCAAAGTTTAACGCTGAGACAGCTGCGGAGACTCATCGATCCCCAGAGGGTGATCAAACCCACACATCCTCCGTCAGTCATTAGTAATAATGTGATTATTATTTTGCATTTTTATCGTGTTTTCCAGAGACATTCTGTGTCTGTTGTGAAACAACGTCATTAAAACAATGTGACTAAAACTAAACCATTTTTGCTTTTAAAACTTTTTCTGGAAATTAGCAATGTGGACAGCTCTACTTTTTCTTGACCCCAGGCCTTATGGCAGTGATCTCAAACCCCTGGCCTGTGGCCCACTTTCGGTCCAAAAATGAAGTCAATATAATGTAATCTGACCCCCTGCTGTTACACTTTTGGCCTGTTGATGGCAGTAGCCCCCGGCTAATTTGACTTTGAATTCACCAAGGTTTACATTTTGGTTGCGAACACTCTTGTATTTTGAATAATATAAAATATCTTCATCTAAATCTTCATTCTTGAAAGCTTGGTTTTCCGGCTCCTCGTTGCGTTCTGTGCCGTGACGTCTGATGGAGCTGAAGTTTACGTTGAGGAGCCGCCCACTTCCATCCTGTCTGCTCAACGATATCGGCGGTAGAGAAGTGTGCAGATCTGTTCTCCCTGTGAATCAATGATAATCACATCATCGTGGCGGCCCGTGCAGCTCGCCCCTCTCTGGGGCTTCACACATCTCTCTCTCTCTCTCTCTCTGGCCTTTTCTTCTTCTTCCCGGCTCCGTCTCTATTTCTTCCTCCTTCATCCCCGTCTCCTTTCATCATAAGGCAGATGAAGCGATTTGAGGTCACTTGCATGCCAGCCGGTCCAACGTAGTACAGACTCATGTATTGTAGTTTTTTTTTTTTTCCCGCTCCTTTTGTGTGGAGCCGCCGTCATGCTTCTCTCATTACTTCTTCCATTGTACAAGGAAGAACGTTCAGTTTGATCATCAGGGGCAGGATTTTTTTTTTGCACTTTAAATGCATGAGTCGAATCACACACACACACGCTGTACATCCAATAACTCCACAGACCGAGTCGATACACGTCAGACTGGACTCCCCGAGTGCAGGGGAGTAAATAAGTCTGCAGCAACTGACACAATTATGAGATGGGATTGTGATGGACTGTGGACAGTGTTGTCGTTGTTGTTGTTGTTGAAACAGCCATCGTTGAAATGCACTTTAAATAAATATATATATATATATATATACTGTAGTATTGTATTTTAAACATGTGGGAACGAATGTCCTTGTCATGGAATTTAAAGGAAGAAAAAATATTGCCTGGTCCAACGTCCCCTGTGGCGTTTGTCACACGTAAAATAATTCATGTAGCTTCAGGAGAAACATGGCAGAGTTAGAAACACTATACTGAATACATACATTCAAATGTATCTTTTCATGCTGCAGACCTGACTGTATTTATAATGGTCTCTCTCTCTCTCTCTCTCTCTCTCACTCACAGCTCCAGCCAGTGCTCAGATCGTGCACTCAGGCGCAGCATGTAACGTCAAAGACGACAACATCAGTGAGAGAATCTACACCATCAAAGAGGGAGACACGTTAGTGCTTCATTGTCTGGTGAAGGGACACCCGCGACCACAGGTGAGCTGCTCTACACACACACCACAGCGTGGGTTTGAATGTCTTTGGGTTTAAAACTGCAGCCTGTCAGAAAACTCACCTCAACAAAGTCCTGCAAATACACGGCTCTGAAAATAAAGGCCGCGGACCTGAAACGTTTCTACCTAGTATTGTTGAATTGAATTACTCAGCTACGGTGGCTAAGGTATAACATGTTGACTCGAGAATTTAGAATCACATTTGTCAGAACTGATGGTGAGACATCAGTTCTGACAAATGTGATCTACGGTTTATCAAACGTGGCATTTTGACCTGAATTGACCAGAAACCTGTTGAATAAGTTGAAACCTTCCAAGCGATTTTTTTTCTCCAAAACTGTATATAAATAGAACTTATTATGTACATTTTATATCCTATTTTTTCTTCTTCTTCTTCCTCTTCTTCTTCTTCTCCTTCTTCTTCTTCTTCTTCTCCTTCTTCTTCTTCTTCTTCTCCTTCTTCCTCTTCTTCTTCCTCTTCTTCTTCTTTTTTTCTTCTTCTTCTTCCTCTTCCTCTTCTTCTTCTTCTCCTTCTTCCTCTTCTTCTTCCTCTTCTTCTTCCTCTTCTTCTTCCTCTTCTTCTTCTTCTCCTTCTTCTTCTTCTTCTTCCTCTTCCTCTTCTTCTTCTTATTTTCTTCTTTTTCTTCTTCTGCTGACCCTGCTGACACTGCTGACGTTTGTTTCTGTCTTTATCAAATCACCGTGGCCTTTCTTAAATCAATAGCCGCTCCTTATTGCTTATCTCACAGTCAAGATAAATCCCATTCTTCAAACCCATTTTCCCGACACCTCTACATCTGCCATCGTTCACTGCTTTTCCTTTTTTCACAAAAAAAACAAACAAACCGCCACTTTTGAAAAACACGCCGTGACCTCAGCGGTGTGAAGCGTATCGTGTATCTTTGAGCTCTTTCTCATATTTATAGCGTCAGTCTCTTTCTGTTTGCGCTGAGTCACAGTCTTCACTTTATTTGCCTTACAGTAACATTTACCAAAAACCTGAGTCAGTGCTCTCAGGTCGATGTCGACGCTGTCGGCCCGTTTGTCAGAACGTTGCACATTTTTGATGAAGTCATGCCATGATATCACTGGAGAGAGGAAAAAAAATAAAAATCACGGCTTATAACAACTCGATCAGAAGGTTCAAACCAGGTGTTGTACAGGAAGTCAGAAATGTTTGAGAAGGAACGTAGAAGAAGAACGAAGGCCGGGTCAAAATCAACACATGTACAGGAAGTCAGAAATGTTTGAGAAGGAACGTAGAAGAAGAACGAAGGCCGGGTCAAAACCAACACATGAAACACCAGACAGAGACAGAGACAGAGGCAGAGACACAGAGACAGACACAGACACAGACACAGACACAGACACAGAGGCAGACACAGACACAGACGCAGACACAGACACAGACACAGAGGCAGACACAGACACAGACGCAGACACAGACACAGACACAGAGACAGAGGCAGAGACAGAGGCAGAGACCGAGACAGAGACAGAGGCAGAGGCAGAGACAGAGACAGAGACACAGAGAGAGACAGAGACAGAGACAGACACAGAGACAGAGACAGAGGCAGAGACAGAGCCAGAGACAGAGACAGAGACAGAGAAAGAGACAGAGACAGAGACAGACACAGAGACAGAGACAGAGACACAGAGGCAGAGACAGAGGCAGAGACAGAGCCAGAGACAGAGACAGAGACAGAGAAAGAGACAGAGACAGAGACAGACACAGAGACAGAGACAGAGACACAGAGGCAGAGACAGAGACAGAGGCAGAGGCAGAGACAGAGACAGAGACACAGAGAGAGACAGAGACAGAGACAGACACAGAGACAGAGACAGAGACAGAGAAAGAGACAGAGACAGAGACAGAGACACAGAGAGAGACAGAGACAGAGACAGAGAAAGAGACAGAGACAGAGACAGAGACACAGAGGCAGAGACAGAGGCAGAGACAGAGACAGAGACAGGAAGTAAATGTGGCACCGAGGTTGCTGTGTGAACACTGAAAATAAACCAAAGTGATTGTTAGGTATGTTGTGTGTGTGTTTGTGATGCAGTGTGTGTGTGTGTGTGTGTGTGTGTGGTGAGGAGAGCTGTGGTCCCTGCAGGGTGTCTGTCCACTGGCATCACGTCAACATGAATAAAACAAGGCCTGTGTGTCTGCACCTTGTTGTCTAATGTGTGTGTGTATGAGTCAGTGCACTGGTGTTTGTGTGTTTGTGTGTTTGTGTGTTTGTGTGTCTGAATCAGTTCACTGATTGTTGCCTCACACTAATTATCCCTTTGTAAGTGCAATATCTAATGACAACGTCGTTGACCTAAGCTGTTTATATTAACTCTGGCTGTCACTTTGCACCAACATTAACATCCATCTCTCTCTCCCTCTCTCTCTACCTCTCTCTCATTTTGTCCTCCATACAAACGGCACTGAAATGTTTCCATTATAATTGTGGAAATTAAACGTACAAAAGAAATGCTACAAAAATTATTAGCTTACATTTTTTTTCTGACCTAATGATCACATTAGTCAGGACATAAAATATTTATACGTGCAGTCAAACTTTACAGCACTTCTGGCACCGGAGGAATAAATGTGTGTACGTTTACGAAGTGTCGGCGCGCAGTGACAAACAGAGACAGATGGTGTCACCAAACACAGGCAACGAAGACAACGTTGATTTTTCACATTATTCAGAGAGCAAATAATTTGAATTAAGAAAAGCAGATCAGACAAAAGAGACATTTGAGGTTCTGATTTTTGCTCTCTTTTACTTTGTCTCTGGAGTTTTGTCTGTAGCTGGTAGACTTAACTTAACTAAACTAGACTTAACTAATGTTTTGTCTGTAGCTGGTAGACTTAACTAAACTAGACTTAACTAAACTAGACTGGACCAGATTGGTTTAGATTAATTTAGATCAGTGTTTCCCAAACCTTTTTTTCTGGGGACCCATATTTTAAAAGTCACAAACCTTCACGACCTGAGTCGACAGACATTATTCGTAAACTCCTGTGAAACATTATGTGAGGCGACCACAAAAAATCTTGTGACCAATCTTAGGGTCGCGACCCAGTCTTTGGGAAACAATGATTTAGATGACTTTACTTTAAAGTTATTAAAGATGACATGTTAATCTTAAATCATCAGTTTATCCACATCAGCTCCGTCCGTTTGTTTTTCTCCACTGAGAGTCGAGTCTGGAGGACAGATCTGAGCAGTGAGCTCTGACCTCTGCCTTCAGGACGTCGTGCTACACTATAGCTCACTGCGGCGTTCTGCATCGTGTCCCACTGGGCTTACAGAGTTTCCACTGCGCTCCATATTGATAACCTGATCTGTGTCATCATCTGTCCTTACATTTTTTTAAATCTCTTTCCTTTTTTTTCACCCGCCCTCTCTGTGTGCTGCGGTCCTGTAGACTTTTTTTTCTTTTTACCTTTAAAGTGTTCAGATATAAGTCACTGCCTCTCCTTTTTCAACGTGGCAGAGACAAAATACCCATAATCCACTGCCCAATACAGTGTTGGGTAATGGGCTCACTCATGATTGTGTTATATTTACATTTTTTTCCCATCTTTACCATCCTGTAGATTTTTTATCTCCTACTACATAAAAACTTTCTGAATACTTTTCTGAAACCATTTCCCTCGTTTCCCATCCTGTACTTAATAACCTTATAAATAAATGTCTCTCTTAATAATAATGGGAGTGAAGTTATGTCCTGGTCGTCTGTCATGGGCAGAGTCACCCGTTCTTTAAAGCAGATCGTGACTTTTCTGCTCTCTTATTCATTAAAAGACAAATCATATTTGTCCATGTGAGTTCAACCCAACAAACAGTTTCTCCTCTAAAAATAAATCCTCAGATTTAATCATTTCTTTATCAGGAGAGGCAGCAGTAGATTGGACCGTTATAAGAAGAAGAAGAAGAACCTGTCACTCGGTTCTGTTCTTGGTCTGTCTGGTTTTTTCTTGTCGTCTCAGTGAGTTGTTCTTCTTTACTGAGCGTTTGCTGCGTTTCACGTATTCTTGTTTTTTTTCTTTCGCTTGAACTGAATTGCCTTGTTATTTATTTGCTTCGTGACGACGACCCTCGTCAAACCACAGACCAAGGCAGATCCGTTGGTTCGGAATAGGAAACCAATCAGGCATATTATTAAAAAATAAGTAAGAAAGTTTAAAAAGAGAGGAGGACGGTGAGGAACAGCTTTAGAGTTAAAGGATACCACCAGGTGTGTGTGTGTGTGTGAGTGTGTGTGACTGGACATAAGTTGACTCCAGAGAGAGCAGACCTTTTAGTTAACAAAGCAATGTAGTCACGCTCAAAAAGCTTTCCTTGTTACACACACACACACACACACACCCTCCTCAAGAACACAGCAGTGGAGTAAATGGTTTTTCAGAAAGTGATTCCTACATCCTTATTATTTATTCATGGCTCTGCTGGTCATTGCAACCTTGAGACTCTGTGTGTGTGTGTGTGTGTGTGTGTGTTGAATCCTATAAGGAAGAGCTGAAGAGTGCCATAAATGAGAAAAGTGGAGGAGCAGAGAGGAGGGATGGAGGGATGGAGGGATGGGGAGGAGGACTGCGGTTGTCAGTGTGGTTTTGGATTTCTGTCCTTGAAGGGTGAAGAGAAGTGGATCGATAGTGAGGCTGAAAGCGAGGCTGATCAGGTGGCAACATAAGGCTGCACGGGCACTCAGTGGGAACACAACCTGGACAAAAACAAGGTCACGGTTTGACCCCTTCACTGCATAGAGAGAGAGAGAGATAGAACGAGAAAAAGGGACGGAGAAAATCAAGAAGTACCGTCAGGAGACGGTGTCATGGAGTCAGGTGGAGATCGAGGGATCGATGATAACAGAACAGACACAGATGCTAATGGAGTAAAATGAGACGATGGAAAGAACACGCGGCGTTTGAACCAAAACCGACTTCGGCCTCAATTAAAGCAGCAGCCGTTAGTGAACTGCAAA